GAGGACTTCAACAAGTTCTGCACCTTCGTCCTGGCCTACGCCGGCTACATCCCCTACCCGCAGGAGGGAAGGGGCCCGGCCGGGGGCGTCCGCCCTGCGCCCCTCGCCCGGCTGCCGCCTTCCCTCCGCCTGCCCTCGCGCTGGACTAGTCGTGGGTCGAGGCTCGCCTACGCTGTTTTAGGGCGTGCCAAACGCAGTGATCTAACTCTGGTAGCGTTCTGGGGACGTGTTTTTGGTGAGATTAAGCACAATACCTGTTTTCTAATTAAAAGGAGGAAAATTGCGAGTGTATGCTGCGTTGCTAGGACAGAAGGGACAGCTGCAAAGCTTTGAAATCATGACATTGGTTGACTGCTATTCACGCAGTGTAAAAATCGTTTCATTTTTTAAAGTATCTATCGTAGAATCTCTTCCTTATCGTTCCCGAGACCTAGACAGCTACAGACCTCGAGTTCCTCATCTAAAGGTTGCCCGGCAGCTTTTTCCTTGGCTGGAATTCTCTGCAGGAGCTTAGGTTACGAAGCGCGTGGAAGAGAGCAGGAACTTGAACTCATGCAAAATATATCGTGCAACATGGCACTCCCTCAAAATGGTGAAGTTTAAACGTTGCACTATGGAGGGAAACGCTGTAGCATCTCATGCGACTTGGCTCTAACGTAATGCTTTTGTCTGCTCTCTCAATATTTTCTAGGAGACACCCCTGAGGAACAGTCCCAGCCCTCCCAACAGCACTGGAGGCACAATTGACAGCGATAGCTGGGATCCCCGATTCAATGACATCCCTTCTTCTGTCTCCTTGCCAGTCAAGAACAGAAAGAACTTTAGTCAGCTTAAGCGAACAAAATCGTATGGTTCCCTATTCCAGCGAGCAAAACCTAGCAACTTCCTGCCAGAGCGAAAGCAAATTGATAAGATTCGGAAGAAGAAAAAACTGAAGAGAAGGGAAACAGAAGCGTCTGCAGAGGAAGACTATGAGGAGAAGCTGCTGGAGCTGGAGGCTGAGGACTCTTACGTGGAGACTCCGATGAGTCCCTCGTCCGAGGGCGACCCTCAGTCTGTTACCGAACACTGCTCGGTGTGGGACTCTGACACACCTTCCAGCGTCTCCTATCCTGCTGTGACAGCCGAGCAGACTGTGGAGATACAGAGCGTGGGTAAAAGAACGGTCATTCGGCAGGGGAAGCAGGTTGTGTTTCGGGATGAGGACGGCACCGGTGACGATGAGGACATTATGGTGGATTCAGGTAGGTGGCCTGGCTATCGAAAGGAAGTTTGTGAGATGATTAGCCAGATGGAAATGATAGGTGCTGTTGCTCATCCTTTCGGTATGTTATCTGTAGCATGAGGAAAATACAAAGGTACATTGCCTGGGCAGATTTAATTAGTGGGTGGGGCTTTCTGGGGGTTTTTGGCTACTTTCACAGTAAGCCAAGTGAAAAGCTGTGACTTCTATAAGTAGCTGCTTTACTCCTCTCCCTGGATTATTGCCTCTTTCGCATTGCTGAGATTCTCTTCCAGAGCAAGAGCTGGCAGAGACTCTATTAAGCCCTGGAAAAATCAGTGAAAAAGTGCCTGTCTTTGAAATCCAGGTAGCTACTTTAACTCAAAAGGAAAATAATTCACATCCAGTGAAATGCAGGAGGAGGAGGTGGGGAGGAAAAAGCGTAACTTGCTATTTCTCTCCCCAGATGACGATTCATGGGACCTAGTCACTTGCTTCTGCATGAAACCTTTCGCTGGGCGGCCAATGATCGAGTGTAACGAGTGTCACACCTGGATCCACCTCTCCTGCGCCAAAATCCGCAAATCAAACGTCCCAGAGGTCTACATATGCCAGAAGTGTCGGGACTCCAAGTTTGATATTCGCCGTTCAAACCGCTCCCGGACGGGCTCACGCAGGCGCTTTCTGGACTAGCCGAGAGAAGGGCCGCACCGGTGTGCTGCTTGGGCAGGCTAGCCGTGCAAAGCACAGACTCCAGCCAGGAGGTCAGGGAGCGCTCCTCCGAACTTCTACTGCTCAGGCTAAAGGGCTGCCTGGTCTGTCTGAGTTAACAGGGATAAGGTATCGCAAAGTTGTTGATGACCAGGGCTGGAAGAAGCCAACTGGTCAAAACTGCTGCTAGATACTGATTAGCTCAAGGACAGATTAAGCTCTCTAGGTTCAGTGGGGTTTTGTCCAGTTAAAACTATGAATTGGATGATGTTTTGGGAACGTATAATACCTTTGCCACGTATTATTTCTCATCCCATCGCGAAAGAAACTGCAAACCTTCTCTGTGCTAGGAAACTCATCCTCCAAAGACGGAGGAGGAGGGAAATCTGTGTGAAGAGTCTCAAAAGTAAATGGCCACGTGTTTTAATTTTAATGTAATATTGTACCTGCCCATTTGTCCATATATATCCATCTTAGATATTCTAAGGCTCCCTAGGAGCGAGTGTGAATACCTACTGGCCTCTTGTGTGATCTGCCTCGTCTGCAGTGGGTCTGGGCAGTAGGTGAGCTGCTTTCACTGAGGTCTGTGATTTGGCGTTGTTCAAGTGAAACCGGGACTTCCTCCTGCTCCAAGGACTGGTGCATTTAAAAGAAGAAAACAGTCCTCTTTCTGGACAGGCAGCGCTGGGGATTAGTGACACTGAGATTCTTCCTAGAAGTCTCTTCTTACAGTGATTTTCGTGACTTTGTTTTGCATGATTGGCTCAAATGTGAGTGTGTATGGGGGGAGGGGGGTACCATTTGCTCTGTTTCCCAGCCGGTTGGTAAGCTCTGAGGTGCTGTTTTAAGGAGACAATGACTCTTTC